GTAAAGGCAGCAGATAAAAGACAATCCTGCCCGTGAGCTGGCGTCTTTTATTATTAGGTGGCATTTTACCTATAAGATCAAAACTTCATGTGGCTAAAAGAATCAAATATCGTTAATCTGCAAACTCTGACTACTTCTCCAACGTTTCATATGTCAGTTGGCGTCAAACATCTGTAAAATATTGTAAATGTATTGGGTTGTTATATAAATTAATGTGTTTTAAGAAAAAAATTATCTGTCGTTTCTGACAATCATTTCGCATGCGGTTGGAACTTCACCTGGTGTTACGTGAAGTGCTGATTACGAAGAACTCCATTTTGTCCGACAGAATAGTACTGTGATTACTCTAGAAAACGATGGACGGGCAATTGCAGATTTGTCGAAAAGATGTTCTACTGGGAAAAACTTACTCCTGAATCTGATCATGAGAGTTAGACTCATTCCCCAAGATAGTGCCATTTCAAAGGCACAAAATTGTTCAAAGTCCGACTTCTCCGCTAATAGGACTTCAACGCTACCAACGTATACACTGTCACCAACACATATCCGCGCTCAATTGGTCGGTAATGTATAAAAAGTAATTGAGCTGAAACTTACTGTTGTCAAAACGCGCCAACCTATGGGACTTGGTTCCCGTACGTTATCTTTTCAAAACTGCCTTTTTGAAACGAAGTTTATATCTTACTGTTTCTGTTACTTCTGTTACTGTATACTACCGAACCTTAGTTACATGTTGTTCGAAACCGCATCTATGACCGCACTGCCACGCCAGACTGAATTATCTGTCCCGCGTGTGGTCATCTATCCCATTTCATGCACGAGTGCGGTGATCAGTAGTATATCGACCGCGCGTCCTCAATGCGTCCGTATTAAGGAACATCCGGAAGGTAGGGATCAGTCACCCCCATCCACTCCTTTGGGCAAAAGCATATGGTACAGAATCTTAATGTGAGCTTCAATATCTTAGCGCAGGAATCAAATATATCAGCTCACAAGTTTTGGAGGCGCTCT